CAAAAAGAAAATCCAGAAACTGACATTATATAAAAGATACAAATGTATTTGTATTTTACTGTGGGAAATAAGTATTTGATCCCCTTGCAACAAACAAGGATTCTGGCTCCCACAGACCGGTTACATGAGTCCTCTTCCTTTAAGAAAGTACTCCTAATATCAACTTGTTACCTGTATCAAAGACACCTGTCCACAGAATCAATCACTCAGATTCCAACCTCTCCACCATGGGCGAAACCAAAGAGCTGTCTAAGGACCTCAGGGACCAGATTCTCCCTGAGATCTGCACTCTCTGATGACTGCAAAGGCTGGGACCGGCTACAAGACCATCAGAGAGCAGCTTGGTGAGGAGGAGACAACTGTTGGTGCCATTATTCAGAAACAGGAGAAACACAAAATGAGCATCAATGGCCCTCGGTCTGGGGCTCCACACAAGATCTGGCCCCGTGGGGTATTGATGATCATGAGAAAGGTGAGGGATCAGCCAGAACTACACAGGAGGAACTTGTTAATGATCTCAAGGCAGCTGGGACCACAGTCACCAAGAAAACTATTGGTAACACACGACACCATAATGGATCAAATCCTGCAGCGCCTGAAGGCCCCCCCCCCCCCCCCTGCTCAAGAAGAACATGAAGGGCCCGTCTGAAGTTTGACAACGAACATCTGAATGATTCAGAGAAGGCTTGGGAGAAGGTGATGAGGTCAGATGAGACCAACATCGAGATCTTTGGCATCAACTCAACCCGTTTGGAGGAAGAGAGATGCTGACTATCACCCCAAGAACACCATCCATCAGACATTCTGCTTTGGGGGTGTTTCTCTGCTAAGGGGACAGGAGGACTTCCCTGCATCGAGGAGAGGATGGACGGGGACATGTACCGTGACATCTTGGCCGATAGCCTCCTTCCCTCAGCCAGGAGACTGTAATGGGTCATGGAGGGGTCTTCCAGCAGGACAATGACCCTGAACACACGACCAAGGCAACACAGGAGTGGATAAAGAAGAAGCACATTGAAGTGATGGAGGGGCTAAAGAAGAAGCACATTGAGGTGAGGGAGGGGCCTAGCCAGTCTCCAGACCTTAATCCCATATAACATCTGTGGAGGGAGCTGAAGCTTCCAGAGGCCGAGCATCAGCCCCAAAACCTGAAGGATTTGGAGATGGTCTTCAGAGAGGAGTGGACCAAAATCCTTCCTGAGATGTGCACAGACCTGGAGACCAACTACTAGAAGAGTCTGACCTCTGTGTGACCTCTGTCTGACCTCTGTGCGTCCAACAAGGGTTTCTCCACCAAGTACTAACACGTTCTGCAAGGTGATCAAATACTTATTTCCCACAGTTAAATGCAAATCAATGTTTGTCTTTTATATAATGTCAATTTCTGGATGTTCTTTTTGATATTCTTACTCTCACTGTTTAAATAAACCTTCAATTACAAATATAGACTGTTCATTTCTTTGTAAGTGGGCAAACTTACAAAATCTGCAAGTGATCAAATACTTATTCCCTCCTCTGTATATTTGTATTTCTCTAAATGTATTATAAATGCACCAATCCACCAAAGCTCATGTCTTGTGAGTGAAACCCTGACTCAGAGTCTGAATGAAGGGGAAGTGAGCGTGCAGCAGCTTGATCCTGCAGACCTGAACTCACTGAGACCCCCTGCTGCTTCACAGAGTCACACAGGAACAGCTTCACATGGATCACTGCCTGCTGATGATAAAACATGAAGGTCTCTCTGAGAGGAGAGAGCACACAGCGCCACCTGCTGGAGGCTCTGCACACAGCAAGTAGAAACAAGCATGATGTATTCTTAAGAGACAGCGTAAGATGGGGTGACCAGGTGCCAACAAGCCACATGTGAGACAAAGAGGACGCTTTTAAGGGACAATGCGGGACGTGTTACTGCGTGGCTAAGAGCTAGGTTAGATTAATATATAATGTCTATCTAACCCTTAAGAATAAACATTTATATGAAACTATTAGCTTATAAATAATAACAACGCTTTACTTTGGTTTAATGTTTGCACAAACTATGCAAGTGAAGGAATTAATTATATCTGTTTTGAATGGAATTAACATAACAAACTATTATGACCAGAAAGAAATTACCGGAGCTAGCTTACAGTCTGCTGACCTGCTTAATGTTCATTAAATCAGCTGCTGGTCCCTCATCTCTTGCCAGGCGTTTCTTGAGAGTTTCTGTGCAGTGTCACTTCAAAACATTTTCACCTCCGTGCGCAATTAAAGAAAAAATCTGGCAAATCTGACAATAACTCTCTGGGAATCTCCCTCCACCGGCTACACACATAAATACATTTCTCTGTTGATTGATTGACATCTGACTCAGCTACTGGTGATAGCTCTCTCTCGATTTCTACACACCTTTGGATAAAAGCCTTGTTTAAGACGGGCGACTGTCAATCAAATGTGGGACATCGGCTAAATGTGTGGGACGAATGATAAGAATGCTGTGCAGTCCGTACAAAGCGGGACACCTGGTCACCCTAATAGGTAAGGTAAGGTAAGGTAAGGAAACTTCATCTTGAAATTCTGCGGATGTCCTCCAGCATGTTGCGTTGATCGTTAGCCTCACCTGTGTTACTGGTCGAGTTAGATAATAAAATTGCAGGATGTTAATGGATTTATTATCAAGTCTCAGGACCTCCTGTTAGATCCGTCTGCTCCATTAGACGCCCCTAGCGGTCTCTCAAAATCACAACATTTTGACGTTTTTCGAACTATATTTAAAATCTCAAGATTCTAATTTTTCTTAAAAATCTAAGAATTTTGACTTTTTTCCACAAATCTACTTTTTATTTTTTTTTAAATCACAGAATTCTGACTTTTTTCTGAAAATCCCAAATGTCTCACTTATTTTTGAAGATCTCAGAATTAGATAAATTGTCAAGTGTTGTGGTCGACGGGCCTGAAATAATTTCCGAGTATTAAACAGGCCTAATAATTGACCTATCAGGAGCTATTGAGTCTATGAAAGTTTACCACCAGGCTCGGATCCACCTGGATCAGCAAGGTCTCACCTCTACTGACTCCTGAAGAACCAGGTTCAATGAACTGCTGTTTCAATGCAGACGAAGCACTAAATCCGTCTAAGCGACCCCGTAGGATTCTGGTATCAGTAATGAGGTCCTGCCTCAGTGTGAGTGTGGCAGTCGTGCAATCTTACTTTGAATCAGGAGAAGACAGCGCATAATTATTTTGGGTTGTCCCAGTCCAAAAGGGTGGGATGATTTATTAAAATAAATGGTTAACACACACAGGGTCTTTACCTTCTCTCGTTACATTGTGACAATCATACAATTATTTAGCTCCGGTGTAAACCTCTAAGATATAATCATTAATTCACCGGTTTACATTAATTCTTTTTTTCTTTGTTGAAACCCTCCAGTAGAAATTCAGAGGACAGTCCTCATAGGGGGCCGGGTATGAAATCAACTGCCCTCTTCAGTTGGTACACAACATTCAAACTGTGGGGCATATTCGAATATGAGAGAATATGAGTTATGAATATTTTTATTGTAATTTCTTTTTTTTTGGGTGGGGTGCCTAAGTTGATTACATATGATCAAATGGAATAATTCAATGTATACGACAGTGCCATAGCTAAATGTGTTAGGTCTAAAGGTGTGTTTTGCTCCGCTCACCCGTCCCTCACAGCGGGCAGAGCTGCAGGTGCTGATCTCTCTCTCTCGCGTCCGGTTATACTTCACTCACGTTTATGTCCAAATCCATCAGAAAACCAAGTTCTGTTTTAAGCATGAAAGCTGTAGGCCTATAGCTGTCAACTGTTCAAACTGTGATCACCAGTTCAATACATTTGACAAATTCGACTTAGTTTCTATACTTATTTGAACATGTACTGTATTTATTTATTTTTCAAAATAAAAAAAATATGTTGTAAAAAAAATTCCCACATTTTTTTTTTTATAGGATATGTACATTTCGGTTAATCGGTTAACAGTTTTTTTGGGGGTCGAATATTCGAATATACATTTGCTTTCAAATTCCCATCCCTACCACATACCCACATATGGGGGGAGGGTCCTTATCTCCCAGGGGAGGGAGACTGACCTATCCAGACTCACTTCAGATCGTACAGTCAAAGCTAAACTAAAGCTTACAGAGATGTCCCCTTCAGTCAGCGGCCTCCTGCTTACAGCTGCTGTTAGAGTAAGGCTTTACTCCCTCTACTGAACAGTGGGACCTATAGTGATAAACTATGACCGACCTTAAACTCTTTCATCTCACCAAACGGTTTACATTGCTGAAAAGATGTGTCTTTTGCTCCTCTCCAACTCTGCCTTTTTTTCAGTACACTATAACACTATATTTCAGTGTTTGTTTACCTTTCTTTGTCCGCTTTTAACTTTGTATTGACATGTATATAGACTTTTTCTACAACTTTTTATTTTGTATTTTTGTATTGTATTATATATGTTGCATTGTTGGAGAGGCTCAGGTCAAAAGAATCTCATTGCCATTTCTACACTGTAGCTTTGTGCATATGACAATAAAACCTTTGAATCTTTGAATTTAGTTCATAGCAAGTATATAGCATGAAATATAATGCATTCTACATTGTGGATCAAACTGAATTATATTTGCTTCTGTTATATAACCCAAAATGGAAACCTCCACACAGTCAAAGTTTATCAAGATTTTTAGTTTTGGTGCGAAATGTATTATTTAGAGGACGCACTTTGATTATCTGGGGGGGGGGATTACTCCTGCAGAGAACACAGAGACGCTGAGGAACCTAACCCAAAACTAAGCCCAGCATAGAGAGGTTCAGTGAATGTGGTTCTGAAGGTGTGGAGGTGGGTCAGTGTGTCAGAGGAGACTCTGTAGAAGGAGAGAGAGCCAGCAGGATGATCCAGATACACTGCTACTTTACCAGAGGGGGAGGAGGAGGGGGGGGGGGAGAAGGAGGAGGAGGAGGAGGAGGAGGAGGAGGAGGAGGAGGGGAGGAGGAGGAGGAGGGAGGAGACGAAGAAGGGGGAGAAGGAGGAGGAGGAGGAGGAGGAGGAGGAGGAGATGTGTGTCTCTCTGTTATTGTGCCAGACAGAGTGACTATCACCAGAGCAGTCCAGACTCCAGGACTGATCATTCCCTCCAAGCACACATTCTTTACTGTCTCCTTTCCTCCTGATTCCTCTGTAAGTCACTGATATAGTAACATCTCCTCTCCACCAGACCTCCCAGTAACAGCGACCAGTCAGAGCTTCTCTACACATCAGCTGAGGCCAGTCATCAAACCTCTCTGGATGATCAGGATAGTTCTGCTCCTCTCTCGCCCATGTCACCTTCCCGTTGTTGTCAGACAGTATGAGGATTCTGTGTGCTGTGTTTGAGTCCAGTGTGAGTCCACAGGAATCTGATGAGAGACACAGCAGGTATTAAAGGTTATTAAAGTCCCTGTGATGTCCCAGTGTGAAGATGTTCATGATTAAAAACACACTTACACTTCCTGAGACCTGGCCTCAAGAACCGGACTGCAGCAGGCTCCAGGCTGAAAGCAGGGGGGGGGGTCAGTTAGTCTTTAAATTATCTTAGTTAGTTGATTAGTTAATGCAGGGGTTCCCAACCCCCGGTCCGCGGACCGGTACCGGGCCGCGGAGGTGTTACTGCCGGGCCGCGAAATAGCTGTGAGTTTATCGTAATATTTGCAGAATTATAAATATATAAAAATATATATTTTTTTTTAATTTTCGCACCTATACCAGTCATATTATTTCATCCAAAACATACAAAATAAATCAAAATTGGTTAGCATAAGGTCTCAGCCCCTCGTGCGCAGAGAAAGTTACCGGTGCGCCAATAGGAAGTGGAGCACACAGGAGACAACCGTTTCATCGCAGACTGTTATGTTTATGTGGGGAAATGGCAGTGCATACATTATTTTAGATATATTTTAAACTCGGACTTCATTTTAAGGACATTGCGGCCAGGGGTGTTGTGGAGCTATTTTTTTTTTTAAACCTCCTTCACTTGCAGCATATATATATTATTATTAGTATTGATGTATGTTTTGTTTCTGACATGTTCAATAAATTGACATAAAAAAAAAAAAAAAAAAAAAAAAAAAAGCATCAGGAGGCAGCCTCTGAGAAGTGCAGCACCAGCGCGTACACACCGCCTTCACTGTGTTCACCACTGCAAGGCAGGCTGCTACGTTTCAACCACACACACCTCTACACACACACATCGAACGGCCCGATTATTCCCCTATTACTTGTTGTATGAAGGAAATACGGTCAATACGGTCACAAAGGCGCATGATGTGTGTGTGTGCGTGTGCGTGTGCGTGTGCGTGTGCGTGTGTGTGCTCTGCGCTCTGCTCAGCTCCGCTGTGTGTGTGTGTGTATGTTCGGTGTGTTTGTGTGTGTCCAACAACGGCATTTGTTTTCAAATGACCATGAACAGTAATTTACACACATCTGGCCAACTCCATAATGTATATGTGGGTGTTCCCAAAATAAATTAGTTTAATCTTAATCTCGATGTAGTGCTAAATGCTGTCGGAGAGCACCGGCAGCTCTGTGATCGCTTGACACCGCCGGAACTAATGATCCGTCAAGCGAACTATTCCGGACACCAGCACCCGACCGGACTGTCACTGGACAGCGCTGTCAGTGTCAGGGTGCTGATGTCAGTGAGCGCAGGTGCAGAGATGAGTGGACCTCAGCAAACTTCCATGAACCGCTTCTTTGCGGGCTATTCTAATAAAAGAGATGGTGAGGAAAAAGCTACCAAAAAGAAAAAAAACGAGCTTTAATCGCAAATACGATTCCTCGTATATCAAATATGGATTTATTGCAACGGGCAATTCGTTGGCGCCAAAACCATTGTGTGTTGTGTGTGCCGAAATGCTTTGTAATGAAGCAATGAAGCCATCGAAACTTCAACGGCACTTGTCAACCAAACATCCTTTTCTGATTGACAAACCAGTTGAGTTTTTTGAAAGGAAAAAACGCGAGTTGGATGGGCAGAAGCAAGTGTTAAAGTCCACAACGTCAACGAGCGTCGCTGCAACAAGGGCTTCATATCTGGTTGCTCACCGAATAGCCAAAGCTAAAAAGCCCTTTACAATAGGAGAGGAGCTGATACTGCCCGCTGCCAAAGACATCTGCCGTGAACTTTTAGGAGAAAAAGCAGCTGGGATGGTAGGACATGTTCCACTCTCGGACAATACTGTTGCCAGGAGGATCGATGATATTGCCGAGGATATTGAAGGGCAATTGTTGGACAGAATAAAAGCATCTCAATGGTACGCAATTCAAGTGGACGAATCCACTGATGTGGAAAATAAGGCAGTTGTTTATGTGCGCTATGTGCATCAAGACGAGGTGGAGGAAGATTTGCTCTGTTGTCTTTCACTTCCAAGCTCAACCACCGCCTCCGAAATATTCAGAGTGGTGAATGAATACATTGCAGGCAGACTGGATTGGGCGTTTTGTGTCGGGGTCTGCACTGATGGGGCTGCTGCGATGACCGGCCGGTTGTCGGGGGTTCACTGCCAGGGTGAAAGAAGTGGCACCGGAATGCGAGGCAACTCACTGCATGATACACCGTGAGATGCTGGCAAGCAAGAAAATGTCCCCTGAACTGCACACGGTCCTGAATGATGCAATAAGGGTAATTAACCACATCAAAGCCCATGCCCTGAATTCGAGGGTGTTTGAATTATTGTGCGAGGACATGGATGCTGATCACATACGCCTTCTTCTACATACAGAGGTGAGGTGGCTGTCGAAGGGGAAAGCCCTGACGAGAGTGTTCGAGTTAAGAGAGCAATTACAGAAATTCCTCTCTGACAAGCAGTCACCTTTAGCCGCGCACTTTAGTGACAAGAGCTGGCTCGCAAAACTAGCCTACTTGAGTGACATTTTTATGGCTTTGAACCAATTAAATCTGACAATGCAGGGGAGGATGGCTGACACATTCAGGCTCGCAGACAAAGTCGCCGGATTCAAAGCCAAGTTGGGAACCTGGGCACATCGCGTCAACCGGGGTGTTTTTGACATGTTCAGCAACTTATCCAGTTTTTCGGAAGAAGCCGAGGGACTTGGCGAGTTGATACACAGCCACCTGCTATCACTGTCTGATGCGTTTGAACGCTATTTTCCATCTGCAAAGGACCCGAGGAATGGCAAAGGATGGATGCGTGATCCATTTCTAAATGACGATGGACGAGACCAGCTCCCATCGCAACAAGACGATCAGCTGATCGAGCTAATGAATGACGGAGGACTGAAAACACTCTTTAATTCAACATCGTTGACATCCTTCTGGATCAAAGCGTCGGGAGAATACAAAGAGATCGGCACGCTTGCTCTGAAGACACTGCTCCCGTTCCCAACGTTATATCTGTGCGAGGCAGGTTTTTCTGCCATGACGGCCACTAAGACCAGACTTAGCAGCAGACTGGACGTGAGGAATACCCTGCGCATTTCATTGTCAACCATCACGCCCCGGTATGACGTTATTATGGCTGGCAAACAAGCCCAGGGGTCTCACTGACATTTCAGTTATATCAGTGGTCCTAATTTGTTTTAATTGTATCCTGGTTTTAAACTTTGTTAATATGTTTTGGATGCATATTGTTCTATTATTTGTTCAGGCTGTTACATACAATTAGCCACTGTTGCCACCTAGGCCTATATTAGGCTATATTATATTATATTATATATTATATTAATATTTGTAAAGCGGTCCTAATTTTTTGTTTTAATTGTATCCTGGTTTTAAACGTTAATATGTTTTGGATGCATATTGGTATTTGTTCAGGCTGTTAAATACAATTAGCCTCTGTTGCCACCTGCTGGTGAGTAAATATTAAAATCAGTTAAAATTGACAACCGGTCCGCGATTTTTTTTTAATGTATCTGCCGGTCCTTGGCACAATAAAGGTTGGGAACCCCTGAGTTAATGCATTTCTTTACTTGTTACTCACTGCTGAAAGTAATTAGTTACAATACTAGTTATATTACTTTTGGATTGCTCTTTAAAATCACCTGAGATGCACCATAACTCAAATGAAAATGAACAATATAAAGTTAAACCTCATCAGATCAGAACAAATCCTTGATCTCATAAGGACACTACTGAACTCAGACCTCAGTTTCTGCTCTTTGTTTGAAAATCATGTTTTCTTTCGCTCAGTTTCAAATCAAATCAGTTTTATTTATAAAGCACATTTAAAAGCGATTTTTGGTCGAGCCAAAGTGCTGTACATGTAATAAAAACACATTACTACAATCACAATAAAAGACAATAATTTACAACAGAAATATAAAAAACAAAGGGAAATGTCAGGAGTCGTGCTCCGCTCTGAAGGCTCAGTGCCCTCGGGTTTTGAGCCTGGTCTTGGGCACTACCAGCAGCAGCTGGTCAGCAGACCTTAAAGCTCTGGCTGGGGTGTAGCGCTGGAGGAGTTCAGCTATATAGGCCGGAGCCAGCCCATTTAGTGCTTTAAAAACAAATAAAAGGATTTTAAAATCAATTCTGAACCGAACTGGAAGCCAGTGCAGTGAGGCCAGAATTGGGGTGATGTGGTCACGCTTTTTGTGGCCAGTGAGAAGACGTGCAGCTGCGTTTTGGACTAGCTACAGGCGTCTAATTGAGGCCTGGTCCATACCCACATACAGAGCGTTGCAATAGTCCAGTCTTGAGGTTACAAAGGCAATAATAACCCTTTCTAGATCTTTAAAAGATAAAAACGACTTGGTTTTGGCTCTCGTTGAGGTTAAGGACATTTTGGCTCAGCCAGGATTTTATCTCTGTTAAGTAGTCCATCAACTGCTGTAGTGAGTGTTTGACATTTGCTTTGAGAGGCATATAGATCTGTACATCGTCGGCGTAGCAGTGGAAGGGAATATTGTGTTTAGTGAGAATTGAACCTAGGGGCAGTATGTACAGTAAAAAGAGGATGGGGCCCAGGATAGAGCCTTGGGGAACCCCACAGGTAAGAGGGGCTTTAGCAGAGGAGAAGGCACCTAGCTGCACTGAGAAGCTACGGTCTGTCAGGTAGGACTTGAACCATGCAAGGGCAGAGCCTGTGATGCCAGCGGACTGTTCAAGCCGTGACAGCAGGATGCTATGGTCCACGGTGTCAAAGGCAGCTGTCAGGTCTAACAGCACCAGGACAACTGGGCTACCTGAGTCGGCGGCTAGGAGCAGATCATTAAAAACTCTTAAAAGGGCTGTTTCAGTGCTGTGCATAGGTTTGAAGCCAGACTGAAACTTTTCATGGATGCCATGCATGGTTAAGAACGACTGCAGCTGGGCGTAGACTACACGCTCCAGGGCTTTAGATAAAAAAAGGTAGCTGGGAGATGGGCCTAAAATTTGCGAGAATGGAGGGGTCGAGATTTTTCTTTTTAAGTAGTGGCTGGACCACGGCATGTTTGAAGGCAGCTGGGACACATCCTGAGCTAAGAGAGGTGTTTATTAGTAATAAAATACTTGCTCCAACTGATTCGAAAACATCTCTGAGAAGGTGAGAGGGAATGCTGTCTGAGGTGCAGTTTGTCGGCCGCAGGTGCTTGACTACATCCGAGAGAGAAGAGAGGGATACAGGCTCAAAGTGGTCGAGGACAGCAGGGCACAGAAAAGGAGCAGGATCTGGGGTAGCACTAGTGTGGGCTAGCCTAAGAGCAGATACTTTTTCAATAAAAAAATGTAAGAGACTTATCACAGAGAGTAGTCGATGGGACAATTGGAGAAGCATCACAGGGATTAATGATCGAGTTGAGGACATTAAAAAGAACCTGAGGTTTATGACTGTTTTTGGAGATTAACAGAGAAATGTGCTCTGTTTTGGCTGCTTTGACTGCCGTCTGGTAGTCAGAAAGGCAAGCACGAAGGATTTCTAGGGAGACATGGAGTTTATCCTTTTTCCATTTTCTCTCTGCACGCCTGCAAGCGCGTCTGAGAGCACGAGTACAGTCATTGAGCCACGGCTCTGAGAGAACTTTGGTGCGTCTAAGCGTAAAAGGAGCAACAGAATCCAGTATTAGTGTGCATGTCGAGTCAAACATGGAGATCAGCTCATCAGCATTAAAAGCACAGTTCACATCTAATTTACAGATCAGGGAAGCATTAAAAACATCAGAAAACTGTGAGGCAGTCAAGGGGTTAATCAAACGCAGACGACACGCAGGGGCACGTGATTCGACTCCTGCGGAAGGGATCGAGGTTGTAAACAGAACCGGTAAATGGTCTGAGCAACGTGTTGCTGCACAGATTTCATCCATCAGTTTCCATCATAACTCTGCTCCAGGTAGCTTGCAAAGGTTTTCCTGTCTGATGGAGGCCACCTGTTACGTGTTTCTTGCTCAATATGTTTTTAGAAAGATGGTGATTCCACCGTGGAAATCATAGATGTAATGAAACGGGCAACATGTCCTCCATGATGTTTGCTATAACTCTGACATTTCTGCTCCGTCTCCTCATCCATGAACTCTGAGCGCGAGAGAAAAAGGACGTTTGACTTATTTTTCTGTCCTCTCTTTCTTATGCAGAAAGTCTAAGACCTTAAAGTAACGCAGGTAACGAGATCATTTTGTGCTCAGTAACTGTAATGTAATTACTCCTGAACCAACAGTAAAGCGTTACACTACTGTGTTACAGACAAATGTAATCTGATTACTGTAACACGTTACTCCCAACACTGAAACTAATAAATCATTATTTTCATTCAAGGGAAGGTTCTTCTGATTGGCCGTTTGCTAGGACTCAGAATAAAACATCTGGAAATGAATTCGTTTAATTATTCATGATCTCAATTCCTGTACTAAATCTGTGTGAACATTAAAACCCCCCAACTCTGTTTCTTTTGGTCATACCACGATGAACATTGACCCACTGAGGGGGGGTTTCCTCTCAGTTGTGTTTGATGCTAACAGCTGACGGCAGACAGTGTGAAGAGTCAGGGTCTATCAGCTCTGGTTGCTTTAGGTCATAGGAGCCAGTTTCTACCTCCTCTATCAGACTGAGTGCCTCTCCATACCTGAGTGTGTCCAGTCCAGCAGACAGCAGCCTCCCCCCTGAGTCTCCTGGATGATTGTAGCTCAGGTCCAGCTCTCTCAGATGGGAGCGGTTTAAAGCTGAGGCCAGAGCATCACCGCCTTCCTCTGTGATCAGACAGCCTGACAGCCTGCAGACACACAAACAAGCCGTCAGATCATCTGAGGGTCCAGGACTGGAAATGGAAATCTTCCATTTAAAGTGATGTTTAAAACTCAGTTAATGGGGCTCATTCACTGGAGCTTCCACAAACGACAATCAACTTAATTATTACATTCAAATGATGTACATTATTCAAGTTTACATTAACTTTGGAGAATAACACAGGAGAAATGAGCGGAAGCGCTCTCTTTTCCTCTCTCCCTCTCTCTCTCTCCTGACAGCCTGTCAGTATCTCATGCAGCTCACTGATCCAGTAATGAGTGACCCGACAGTGAAGAATAAATATATTTATAACTAGTTTAGCTTGTTCCAGAGGTAGATCAAATAGCTAAGTGTGTTAGGTCTAACTCTTGTGTGTTTTTCTTCTTGTGATTTCTGCTTCACACACGTTGCATACCGCTATTTTACTGTCTTTTTCGGACACCTTAAAATAATGCCAGACCGGTGAAGCCATTTTGGCGAGCTTGTTTTGCCGTGCACAGAGAAAAGTGTCATGTATTTTACATCATGCGATCGGCTCTCGCGATCGGCATGTTTAGAGAGCACCGATCGATCGGTAGAGAGTGAGTATCGGCCGATCTCGATCGGTGACCGATTGATCGGAGCATCCCTACAGGACGCATATGAATTACGCCAGCATGTTCTGTCTCTTCAGAGCTCCTCACCCAATCTCTGAGGCCCAGTCAGCCTACAGAAGAAGCTTTAATCTGACGCTCATTTAGACTGCTTGTATCTGTGATGTCATCCTTTCAGTGACTACCTAAAGCTCATGACGGTGAGTAAGGGTTGATCGTAGACGGACTGGTAAATAGAGAGCTTTGGCCCCAGCTCAGCTTCCTCTGTCCAACGGTCCCGTACAAGGGACTGCCTGTCCATCTCACGCAGGGGTTTCCAAACTAGGGCCCGGGGGCCAACTGCAGCCCTTTCAGTTTAAAAAATCTTAGTTGATCAAAAAAAAGCCCAATAACATATTTGCATAACAAACCCTACCTATGTCCACTTATAAGCAATCTGAGGCTTCTGTTTTAAAGGATGAGCCGCCAACTAAATAAAGTAAACCCTCTGGAGAGCTGAGATGTAGTCTGTTTTGTTCTTAAAGTGGACCTATCATGCTATATTTGAATAATATAGTGTAGGACCATACCTATATAAGGCATATTTATACTTTTTTTTTTTTCAAAATACCAAACAGATCATGCATTTTAGCCATGCCTCATTTTGCTCAATTTGACCATTTCTAGCTCTGGGCTGATTCAGTGAGAACAGCACCATCTACTGGCCTGGCATATGTACTACAGCGTCTCCAGCGCTTTCGAACGGCAATGGCCATGGCTGTCTCCTCCTGATTGGTGGAGTTGGCCCAATAGCCGTAGCGCCACTGTCCTGACGTCTGGATCAGTTTTTATCAGATCCGTTGCAGCCCCTTTTTTAGAGATTTGGGTATGGAGGAAAATAGAGAGGGTTGTGTTTTCTGACACTTGGTGAGTTCCCTGGAACACCGGGGACACATATTCATGTATAAAAGACGTACAAAAGTGCATTTTGCATGATAGGTCCCCTTTAAAGCATATTCAAGTACATTTGATTGATTATGCTAAATTATAACTTGACTTATGAGGCAATATATCTCACCTCTAGTGAGGGGCCCAGCCCTTCGTATGTTATTCTGTATGTGGCCCTAAGGGAAAAAAGTTTGAACGTCCCTGACCTAACGCTTCATTTTCACCCTCACTCGTCAACGAAACCCAGAGATAACTAAGTTCCTCGCCTGGCTCAGAAACTCACTGCCAACCCGGAGAGAGCAATCCACCGTTTCCAGAGATCCTCGGCCTCAGACAAGGAGGTGCTCGGCTGAAATTACCAAAATGAGTGCTGGAGAAACGCTTCTGCCAAATCACTAAAAATGAAGCTCTTTATAGAGGGTTTAAAGAAGTTTGTGTCAATAATCATTTTATGAATTGTGACACATGTATTGGTGTTTCGTTTCACTACAATGATGTTATTGATGATGGTATTCCCACACCACAACAGCATGGCTGATTGTTAGCTAAGTCAAACTGTACTGGTCTCTGACCTGAGAGTCTTCAGTTCACAGTGTGGACTCTCCAGTCCAGCAGACAGCAGCTTCACTCCTGAATCCTGCAGGTCGTTGTTACTCAGGTCCAGCTCTATCAGACTAGCGGACTGGGAGCTGAGGACTGAGGACAGAGCTTCACAGCTTCTCTCTGACAGGTTACAGCCACTCAGCCTGAAGAGACAATGAGGACAACCGTTATTCAGAAGACAGCAGTGTATTAATAACTGATTCTCTAAATCAAATGATCTCTGTACTTACAGAGCTTTGTTGGAGGCTTTGACCACTGGCAGCAGCCTCAGAAGAGCCTCCTCTGAAGCAAAGTATTTATGCAGGTCAAACACGTCCAGATCTTCTCCTGATGACAGTAAGATGAAGACCAGAGCTGACCACAGAGCAGGAGACAGATTATCTGTGGAGAGACTTCCTGAACTCAGGGACTGTTGGATCTGCTCCACTAGAGAACGATCATTCAGTTCATTCAGACAGTGGAACAGGTTGATGCTTCTCTCTGCAGACAGATCCTCATCTATCTTCTTCTTGATGTACTGGACTGTTTCCTGGTTGGTCCCTGAGCTACTTCCTGTCTGTGTCAGCAGGCCTCGTAGGAGTTTCTGATTGCTCTGCAGTGAAAGACCCAGGAGGAAGCGCAGGAACAAGTCCAGGTGTCCGTTTGGACTCTGTAAGGCCTGGTCCACAGCACTCTGGTAGAGATGTGTTAGTTCAGGTTTGACTTCAGACTTCTGGGAGGTTGTTGGTTCTTCTGCCAGCAGGTTGACTCCAGAGTTAATGAAGGTCAGGTGGACATGAAGAGCAGCCAGAAACTCCTGAACGCTCAGATGGATGAAGCAGAACACCTTGTCCTGGTACAGTCCTCTCTCCTCTCTAAAGACCTGTGTGAACACTCCTGAGTACACTGAGGATGCTCTGATATCGATGCCACACTCTGTCAGGTCGGACTCATAGAAGATCAGGTTGCCTTTCAGCAGCTGCTCAAAAGCCAGTTTCCCCAGAGACTCCATCATCTTCCTGCTCTCTGGACTCCAGTGTGGATCTGTCTCAGCTCCTCCATCATACTTGACGTTCTTCACTTTGGACTGAACCACCAGGAAGTGGATGTACATCTCAGTCAGGGTCTTGGGCAGCTCTCCTCCCTCTCTGGTTTTCAACACCTCCTCCAGAACTGTAGCAGAGATCCAGCAGAAGACTGGGATGTGGCACATGATGTGGAGGCTTCGTGAGGTCTTGATGTGGGAGATGATGGTGCCAGCCTGCTCCTGATCTCTGAATCTCTTCCTGAAGTACTCCTCCTTCTGTGGGTCAGTGAACCCTCGGACCTCTGTCACCATGTCCACACACTCAGGAGGGATCTGATTGGCTGCTGCAGGTCGTGTGGTTATCCAGAGGCGAGCAGAGGGAAGCAGCTTCCCCCTGATGAGGTTTGTCAGCAGCACATCCACTGAGGTGGACTCTGTGACATCAGTCAGGATCTCAGTGTTGTGGAAGTCCAGAGGAAGTCGACACTCATCCAGACCGTCAAAGATGAACACAACCGGGAACTGATCAAACCTGCAGATTCCTGCGTCTCTGGTTTCAGAGAAGAAGTGATGAACAAGTTCCACCAAGCTGAACTTGTTCTCTCTCACCACATTCAGCTCTCTGAAGGTGAATGGAAATATGAACTGGATGTCCTGGTTGGCTTTGCCTTCAGCCCAGTCCAGAGTGAACTTCTGTGTTAAGACTGTTTTCCCAATGCCAGCCACGCCCTTTGTCATCACTGCTCTGATTGGTGCATCTCTTCCAGGTGAGGCTTTAAAGAGGTCTTCTTGTCTGATGGTTGTTTCTGGTCTGTCTGATTTCCTGGAGGCTGTTTCAAGCTGTCTGACCTCATGTTGATCATTGACCTCTGCAGACCCCCCCTCTATGATGTAGAGCTCTGTGTAGATCTGGTTCAGAAGGGTTGGGTTTCCTGCTTTAGCAATGCCCTCAAACACACACTGGAACCTCTCCTTCAGGGTGGACTTAAGTTTACGCTGACAAACTTCAGCAGGAGTTCCTGAAAGAACACACAATAAAATATAATTTGGTCACACTGTAACTGTGGTTCTCTGAATAAAATATGGATATATGTTGGTCCCTTGAGACATCAGCAGATGAGACATTTATCCAGAGTGTTACATTTCTATAGAAACCCTCTTACTGCTCTGCAGACGGTCAGCCAGCTCCTCCTGCTTCATGCTCCTCAGGAAGTGCAGTGTGATGTTCAGAAATTCCTCTCTGCTGCTCCTCCTCTGCTCTTCATCCTCAGCCTCCAACACCTCCTCATCCTCACTCTGACTCTCTAAGTATTCTGGGTAATCTGAACTCAGAGCCTTCTGGAACTTCTTCAGCTCGCTCTTCACAAAGGTGACGATGTGTTCCTCCAGCAGCTGGAACATCACATGAACGACACAAACTATAAACCATGGATCCAAACATCAGATCCGGACAGACTGACTCTCTAAAAGTGCAGCATGGAGATGACTGTGAACAGAAGAGAGGTAAAGTATCTGTAGTACATGTACATACCGTAAATATGGAGTCCAGCTGTGTCTGATGCTGCTGGGCAGACTGACCACCGGGAACCTCCGAGCTCTCCTGGTCCCCTCTGTGGAGGAATCATGAAGCATTAGCTCACATTATGTCTGTCCACACAGAGACACACTCAGGGTGAAGGAGGACAGGGGAACAGGCTGGTGGTCCTGTGCGTCAGCGGGAACTTTGCACTACAGGAATATTTATTTCCAGCTACTGTTGAAGACCAGAGGATTCTGTCCATCCTTCATTCTGGTCTTCCTGAAACGTGGCTGTGTGGATAGAAACTGGACTCTGCAGCTGGCTAACAGCTGTTCATCAGGAAAAGGACAGACCTAGGGACAGTTCTTACACCAGCCCCCGTTAACCCCCCAGCTCCACCTCCAGCACATAGCAGGGGTCAGGGTTCACCTGGCAGTAGAGCTGGTTGTGACTTTGATGAAGGCTCAGTATCCTCCATCAGAAGTGTTTGTGAGACGGTGGAACAGCTTCTGAACAGCCTGAGTTTTCAGATGGAGTTTCACTGCCCCTCCCAGTGTGGACGTTCACAACTAAATACTTTGGACAAGAGGAGGGGTCTGACGAGACTTTAAACAAACTGGTTTTATTCTATCATAACCGGACTCTTACTGTGAGTTACAGCTTACTTCTGATCAGCAGATGGAGGTCGTCCTTTAAAGTTTATGAAGTCTTCCTTCGAGGAGTCGCTCTTTAGGGACAGACAGCTGGGAGAGTCTGGTCTCTGCTGCTGGACCCTGAAACAGAAACAGATGAAACATTTGCGTAAATACCTTTTGTTTTGTTTTGTTTTATTTCATTCAGATTAGTTTGCTCATATATACAAGCTACTTTTTTTTCTTTTTTTTTACAAATCTTTTTATTGCAAACAAGTCATAATCCAGCACATGACAAGAAGTGAGAGCAGTAATACTAAACAGTACAGATGTTACAATTACAATGGGGATCATTACAAAGGACCTCCTTGAAATTGCATTCACTTCAGGGTTTGTAGAGTCCTTGTTTACAGTCTTTTTTTTTTTTTTTCATTTAACCCCCCCACCCCCCACCCACAGGTATGGATGGCCCCAAATAGTAAAATAACTGAATAAGTCAGATACAATTATAAGTAAAACATAAATAATAATACTAATACAAAAGAATAAATAAAATAAAATAAAAAATAAATAATAAATAATAAAATAAATAAAGTCGAGAGCGAAAACAGTCTGCTGGTATAAGGGAAGAAAATAATAGTAAACATTGTCGTCTTGGTGATGAAAAAGGGTTTCATTAAGAGCGAAAAGGAAATATAGATGAGTAGTCTAGGGCAAAAGACAAAGGGTCATGGCGGAAGAGCAGTAATATGAATGGTCACTTTTATTTTATTTATTCCCTTTCAGAGAGCTAACTGCGACTCAGCGTCAGAAGTGATAGGGAGTTCTTTGATAAGGCCTAATAGTGGGTCCCAGCTAGTACGGAAGGATTTCAGAGATCCTTTTAATGAGAATCTTAACTTCTCCATCTGAAGGCATTGCAAGACATCACGTATGCACTGATCATGTGTTGGTGGGGAAGCATGTATCCATTTCAAGAGAATAGAGCGTCTAGCTAATAGAGTGGTGAAGGCAATGACACGGCGTATAGTAATGGGCATATTCTCAGATGGAGGAAGGCCGAACAGTGCAGTCATAGGATTAGGGTTTATCTTTGTGTTATAGGCCTGCTCAATGGTTCCAAATATGTCAGACCAAAATGTGTCCAGCCTCGGGCAAGTCCAGAACATGTGCAGATGGTCAGCTGGGGATTGATTGCATCTGTTACAGGCATCACTCCGATCCGGGAACATTTTAGCCAGCTTAGCATTAGTAAAGTGAGCTCTGTGGAGCACCTTGCACTGGAGTAGGCCATGTCTAGCACAGATAGATGATGTATGGACTAGGTTGAGAACGTCACTCCATTGATCATCGTAAATGTTGCTACCTAGATCACGCTCCCAGAGCTCCTTAAGAGGCACCATAGGGTCCGGACTCAGGGAACCAATCTGACCATAGAGAACTGAAACCAAGCGCTTTTGATCAGGGTCGAGTGTGAGAAATGTATCAATTGGCGATTCGGGGGGGCGGTTAGGAAAATGGGGAAATTGCTTTTGGATGAAGTGCCTGATTTGGAAAAAACGGAAGAGATGACTGTTTGGCAGGTTGAATTTGACTGACAGGGACTCAAAGGATGAAAAGACTCCATCCTCGTAAAGGTCATTAAGCGTTGCCAGACCATTGTTCGACCAAACGCGGAAGGCCGGGTCAGTACATGATGGGGAGAATAGGTGATTGTTTGAAATTGGGGCGTGAACCGAAGCTCTATGTAACCCATGCTGTTTCCTGAATTGGAGCCAAATACTTAAGGTGCTAGTAACAATTGGGTTACTCAAATGTTTATGGGTCGCTACAGGGAGCTGAGAGCAGATTATAGAGTGCAAAGGAGCAGAAGATGACAGCTCGATATGTACCCAAGGTGGGCAGGGGTCTGAAAGTTTATATTTAGCCCAATAGAGGAGTTTGTTAATATTAGAGGCCCAGTAATAGTGGCGAAAGTTGGGGAGCGCCAGGCCCCCTTCTGATTTAGGGAGTTGGAGACACAACCTTCTAATACGCGCAGGCTTGTTGTTCCAGACGAACGCATTCAACTGCTTATCAAGATCAGTGAAAAAAGATTTGTTGATGCGTACAGGGATGTGTTGGAAAAGGTAAAGAAACTTTGGCAGGATGACCATCTTTATAAGGTTGACGCGACCCGCAAGAGACAGGGGAAGGGAGGCCCACCTAGACATATCAGCTTTGCATTTATCTAGTAGAGGCTGAAAGTTTTTCGGGAACAGGTCTTTAAAAGAGTTTGCAACAAACACCCCCAAGTATTTGAACCCCTCCACAGCCCTTTTGAAGGGGAATAGGGATTGGGGAAGTGCCTCTGCCATTTTATTTACAAAAAATACTTCGCTCTTTTGAATGTTTAGTTTGTAACCTGATACACGGCCAAATTTATCTAAAATCGACAGTATGGGGGGGAGAGAGGATAAGGTGTTCGAGATCATAAGAAGAAGGTCATCAGCATACAGAGACAGTTTATGAACCAAGCCATGACGCGTAATGCCCTCAAACCTATCATGGCTTCTGAGCCAGATAGCGAGAGGTTCAATGGCTATATTGAACAACAGCGGCGAAAGAGGACACCCCTGGCGAGTACCACGTTGGAGAGAGAAAGGGGGAGATCAAATGCCATTAGTGTGTACAGAGGCAGATGGAGAGGCATATAGGAGTTTAATCCAGGAAATAAATTGGGAATCGAAACCAAATTTATCAAGACTAGAAAATAGGAAACCCCACTCAACCCTATCAAAGGCCTTCTCTGCGTCAAGTGTCACTATGACTTCGGGGGTGTTAGAGGAAGGAGAGAAAATTACATCAAGCAACCTCCTTGTGTTAAAAAAAGAGTGTCTCCCCACCATAAAGCCTGTTTGGTCCAGCGAAATTATATCTGGCAGTACGCGTTGGAGGCGGATAGCCAGTATTTGGCCAGTATCTTACAGTCCACATTTAACAGTGAGATTGGTCTGTAACTGCCACATGAAGTAGGATCTTTGTCTTTCTTGAGAAGCAAGGAGATAGACGCAATGGACAACGTTTCTGGCAATCGGCCTGTCTGGAGAGAGTCATTGTACATCCTTGCCAAAATCGGGGCTAACTTGAAAGAATATGCCTTATAGAATTCAACTGTATAGCCGTCAGGCCCAGGAGACTTCCCACTTTGCATAGATTTTATTGCATCATGTATCTCAAGGGTGGAGATGGGGCCGCCCAATTCGCCAGCGATGTTCTCGTTAATTTTGGGGTATGTTAAGGAGTCAAGAGGATTGGGGGTCGTGGCAGGGATCGGGGGACAATCCGAAGTGTAGAGATTGGTGTAAAATTCAGAGAAAGCCCTGTTAATATCAGCTGGGTTAGAAGTAAGGTTGCCATCGGACAATCTGATTTGGGGAATCAATCTGGACGCACTGGCCGCACAAGCTTGTTGAGCTAGGAGTCTACCAGCTTTGTCGCCCTGCTCAAAGTAACGTTGCCTACACTGTCTCAGTTGTCTCTCAACAATGCCTGTCATCAGAAGGTCGTGTTCTGAATGTAGCAGGAGGCGTTTTTTATAGAGAGAAGGAGAGGGAGAGGAGGAGTACGTTTCATCGAGTAAGCGAAGCTCAACACAGATTTCTGAAAGCCTTTTCCTCTTTTCTCTTACGTGAAGTGTACGAAATGACCTGTCCCCGTACAGTGGCCTTGAGAGCCTCCCAGAGAATACCGCTACTAACGTCGGAAGTGTCCTTAATTTCAATGTAGGAAGAAATCTGAGTGGAAAGATAGTCTCTAAATTCACTGTCTGACAGCAGGGGAGAATTGAATTTCCATAATGGAGGGGGGGACATGCCAAGAGGGAAATTAATGTCAACCGAGGTGGGAGAATGATCTGAGATGGCTATCGGATGGTATACGCATAAATTGACTAGATGAATCAAATTGTTATCGAGTAAAAATAAATCAATTCGTGAAAATGTGTGGTGTCTGTGCGAGAAGAAGGAAAATGCTCTACTTTGCGGGTTAATAAATCTCCAGGGGTCTGAGAGTCCTAATCGTGATGCATTGTGCAGTACTACCTTGGCCGAATTGGAGAGAGTAGCTTGTGTGAGCGATAACCTGTCGATACTCACGTCCTGGACCAAATTCCAGTCGCCAGCCATAATAATACGATGGTTGTCGGCGTTGGGAATTTGAGCGAAGAGGTTCACAAAAAAATTACCATCATCCCAATTGGGAGCGTAGATAGAAGCTAGTATCACTGGTGTGTTCTGTAGCGTCCCCGAAACTATGACATAACGACCATTAGGATCTGATATCGAATTTGTCAGTTCAAATCTGACATTCTTGTGAATAATAATTGCTGCCCCTCTGGCTTTGTGGGAGAATTTTGAGTGGAACAAGTGACTCATCCATGCCCTCTTAAGACGAAGGGTATCAGAAGATTTAAGATGAGTTTCCTGCAGGAATATGATATCTCCATTCAGATCTTGCAGCCGTGTCATTACTTTACCAATTTTAGTAGCGTTGTTCATGCCCTTAGTATTCCAGGAAATCAGACGCACTCCTCTACCTGTCATTGTCATGGCAGACACCATCTAGGAAGTTCCTTGAAGACAAGTTGACCTGGACAAACACTGTCTTGCATACACAGGAGAAAGAGAAGAGAGGACGACGAAAAATAATAATAGTAATGATAATAACAAAAAATAAAAATAAAAACCCATGTGACCATACCTATAGCTAAACCCAAAATACACAGCATAATCAAGCACTCTGGCTCAGATCTATGTAATTACACTAACACTAGTCTTCCGGGGACCTAGTCCCTATCTAAACAGTAAACCATCCCCATATTATTAAGTGAACAGGAAATTGTCAAATATTATGCAGAAAAAATGTAAACACACATACAATTTAGTGCAGTAAAAATCAGCATGAACAATCGGTCCAACAAGTAAATACAATGTATTTTATCCATTCAGATAAATGAGACATAATAGGGAATAAAATAAAGTGCAAAAGAAATCTCTGAATGGTAAAGGCACAGGTGGACAAGAAAATAAGCTAGTGTAACAGCTCCACATCAATGGAGCTGTTGCTCCCTCTAGAGGCAAAAGCGATACTCTGCGGATAACGCAGTGACCTATCAACAGGCATTCATAATGGCAAGGAACAACAAAAAGGAAAATATAAGAAGTCAATGAAAACAGGCCAAGAAAATAACTACTAGCCGTGGAGAAACACACATGTCTGTCTGCATGATAACGCCATAATTAAAACCCATGTGAACTAATAGGTCAGACAAGTTACTGAAGTAGCCACGATGGGCTAGTAAACTGGGCTAACGTTACCAAACCGCAGCAGTCAGGCGGAAGAGGATGGATGAGAGCCGATACCAGATCGGTCAGCTGCAATAAAGTCCTTGGCCTCAGAAACCGAGGAAAGTCTCTTCCTGACCCCATCCTTCAGTGTGATGTTAAGCCTTGCAGGGAAAAGTAGTGAGGGCTTGAAGCCCCGTTGGTAAAGTTCAGACATCACCTCTTGGTATTCCCTGCGCTGCTCCACTATCTCAGAAGGATAATCCTCGTAGATTGCAATGGGGGTCCCACGGTACTGCAGCTTGCCTCTCTTAGCTCTGGCCTCACGGATGATTTTATCTTTCTGCTGGAATCTGAAGAGTCTGACGACCACAGGTCTCAGTCTCTGACCTGGTGCTGGCTTGTTGGAGAGTGTACGGTGCGCTCTGTCGCACTCCGGTGGAGACTCAAAAACGCCGTCACCAAGGACCTCAGCCAGAAGTTCAGAAAAGAAGGTGGAGGGGTGAGGCCCTTCGATGGACTCAGGTAGACCAATGATCCTGATATTGTTACGGCGGCTGCGAGACTCGAGGTCCGTCAATTTAGCTTGTAGCTTGGTATTATTCTCAGCTAGCTTAGCACACATCGATTCCAAACTTTGTAAGCGTCCGTCTTGTTCGTTAGCGTTGGATTCAAGCGAATTAATTGAGTGGGTATGATCGGAGACTGTGGTTTGAATGCAGTTTAGCTTGGATTCGAGCGTAGATAAAGTAGCCTTGAAGTCTGCAGAGATAGCATTCCGGTGTTGTTCCAGTTGGTTAGCCAAAACCGCCATGTTGAAGTCACTGCCATTTGCCGCCGGCATGGCATACTGCTCCTTCTTGTCCGACTTCTGCTGCTTGGAAGGCATAATCCAGCACCGGAGTGTTTAGAATGGAATAATTATCCACCTGGCGATGGCCAAAGGCAAAACTATGGGGATTTAAAATAGTAAATGAATAAAAGTTACGGGAGCTAGATTCGACACTGCCTACTCCATCTTGCCCCACCGGAAGTCCTTACAACCTCCAAGCAACTTTTTGAAAGAATATGTTTTTTAAATATGATCAAAAGGGTGGAATGTAATGGAACATTTTATTTGATCATGCTGAGTGAGCATTCAAAGTTCACCATTATGTTCTTCTTGATAAGCTATTTCTTAGAAAATGACTCAAAGTCAGCAGTTAAGATAACCTCTATCTATTGTGAAAGGTTGATGACCTTTAACCTCTAAGGAATGTAGACATTATGGCTCTCCATGCAGCAAGCAGATGTTTCCTGGACATCTTGACCACTCCCCTTCTTCCTTTTGGGTCTGATTTTGTGAATATAAGACCCTTTGCAAATCTCCTGACTTTTGTACTTCGCTGCAGACTGCTTGACACTCTGTAACGTTTTACCTTCTTGCAAGAATACATTGTTATTTGAAGAATCTTAATTTCAATATAACGGAAAAGTTTCCTCACCATTTTATTATTATTATTTGTTTGTCTTGGTTAATTTGCACCACACAAGGCATTGTGGGACTGCATTTTCTCCTTTCCTTTCGTTAAGGAAGGTCCAGTGTTTCCTTAGCTAAGGAGGTTATTATACCGCTCTCACTCTCCTGATTATTTGTCCCATTTATCAGGCCGTAAAACATGCTGGAAGAAAACTGCTGAAAAATATTTTGGACAAGACTTCATACCGACTAGTTTTATTCTATCATAACCGGATTCTTACTATGAGTTACAGCTTACTTCTGATCAGCAGATGGAGGTCGTCCTTTGAAGTTTATGATGTCGTCCATCGACTGGTCGCTCTTGAAAGACAGACAGCTGGGAGAGTCTGGTCTCTGCTGCTGGACCCTGAAACAGAAACAGATGCAGACATTGGCGTGCCTTCACTTCATACCCATTAGTTTGATCTAAGGTTAAGGTTAGGGAATGTGGGACTTAAGAGAAGACTCTATTGCAGTAGTCCAGGGAGATGATGAATGCTTGAATAAGGGTTTCTGCCACCGGGTCGGGGGTGAGGGCCGTATGGTTGATATGTTTTTTATGTGGAAGAAGGGGGATATTGTAATGGACCGGATGTGGGAGTTGAAAGACAGGGTGGAGTCCAGAATAACACCCAGGTTGCGGGCTTCAGGGGAGGGTGGATGGTGCAGCCATCAAGAACTAGGAAGAGATCTCCAAGCTTCCAGACTAGTTCTTCAGGGGCCACAACTACGAGCTCGGTCTTGTTGCTGTTGAGTTTGAGGAGGTTACTAAACATCCAGGTTTTATGTTGCGGAGGAAATTGACTTGTGAGAGGGGAGGGGGCTGAGTGGATGGGTCAGTGCTGATATGGGTTTGGGGGTCGTGGGCGTAGGAATGAAAATTGAGACCGTGTTGGCGGTAGGGCTGTGCATCTTCACTGGTCTCACGATTCGATTCGATTACGATTATCCTGTCAACGATTCGATTCAATTCGATATCCCGATGCATCACGATTCATACCAATGCGTTGCATCCTCAATTTTCTATATTACTGCACATGGCTTATTTTTCATCAATGCATACATGCAGTAAATACATATGAACTCTCTTTTTATTATTTAGAAAGTGCTTCAGAAATCAATAACATAAATGTCTTGACATTAATTTATAAACCAAAATAAATAAATTGTATAGGTCTAGCCTGTGTGTGAAGTTATTCCATCCTCAAAAACAAAAAACTAATGCTTCTGCAGTCTGTTAAAAAAAGGACACTGAATGTCCTGAATGTGGCATCACACACAGGACTTGAGTCTGAACACAGCAGACAACAGGAGTATTTACAATAGCATATACAAACAAAAATACTGCATGTGGGTGCACACTTACATTCTCTGTCTTACTGTTACATAAATCCCATGAATGTATGAGATTAAGTTAGCTTCATTATATCTCAATCAGTGATTAAGTGAATAATAAAGTTTCTATCGGGTCACTATCAGCCTGTCACTCATTATTTTCAGGGAGGGGGCGGGGTTTGGAGGAACGGAGAGGAGACGGTGATCGCGGAAGCTTTTTTCCTCCTACCTTCACAAACTTTACACACGTATCGTCTGAAAATTGCTAGAGGACATTCATACTCTGCAATCCAAGACTTAATTAAATCCACCAAAAACCTGACATGATTGTAACGCGATTATTTTTGAAAAACATAAATCCTTGTGTCTCTGAGCCGCAGCGACACGGAGTGATTCAGAGCGGGACCTTCTGCTGTTGGTTCTGGACTGGTGTTTTTGTGTTGGTGGATAAAGCAGACTGCTCCGTGTTTGGTGTTGCTGTGCCGCTGTCACGTCTGTTCCCTGATCTCTGCGTCACCGACCGATTTGATATTAAAGTGACAGAAAAAAAAAACGTTATAGTAAAGCCGCGGCCGGAAAATCAGGAAGCAACGTTACTACGCTATAATTGATTATCTTCTGTCACTGCATCGATACCGAATCGTCCACGTCCGCATCGCAATGCATCGTAGAAACGATTATTTTCAACACCCCTAGTTGGCGGTTGATTTGACCAAGGGGGAGCATGTAGATGGTGAACAGAAGAGGGCCAAGCACTGAGCCTTGCGGCACGCCTTGGTTGACTGGGGCTGGAGGGGAGCTGGAGTTTCTGATGGTGACAAACTGTTACCTGTTGGAAAGGTATGAGTGGAACCAGGACAGAGCTGTACTCGTAAGGCCAAGGTAGTTGGATAGGCGGTTGAACAGGATGGTATGGGAGACGGGGTCAAAAGCTGTAGACATGTCTAGGAGGATGAGGATACTGATGTGGCCTAAATACACATAAAGCAGCTAAAAGTGTTGAAGGGCAATGATAAAACAGAGTGAGATGATCTCTGGATAGTGTGACGACCCCTCCACACCACGTGGGGTGCCGTCTGGTTGTGTGTGTGTGATTGCAGGTGCCTGGGTGCCTGACGAGCTGCATCTGCCTGAAGAGCTGCATCTGCCTGACGAGCTGCATCTGCCGGAAGCATTTAAGAGGAGTCCAGCCGGTTACGTCGCTCTCTCACTCCTCTGGGCACTCTCTCCGGGCCAGCCTCGGGGATCTGTTGCTGGTGCCGCGTCTTCAACTTTGTGTATTTATAATAAACGTCTTTGTTATTCATATCCCTCGTCTCGCCTCCCCGCTTTATGTTGCAGCCCAGGAGCCGGGTTGTAACATATGGGGGCTCATGGTTGAACCTGGTCGTTTCGGAGGTTAGTTTCGAAAATGGACTGTTTTGTGAACGGAGGGGAATTAACACACAGCTGTAGCGGGTTACGGCAGGGGACCGTGATGGAGCGCGCAGCTGTTTGTTTGGGAGTAGCTTTGACGAGGGTAAGTGAATGTAGTAAGGCAGCTGGTTGTTTGTAATGCGAGTTAGGTGTGGTGCACTGAGTATTTGTTCACGGCAGTCACGTACCGTTGGTCTTGTCCCTGTTAGGCTTCAGTACGGTCTCCCTTGGAGGTCGTAGGGGGGGCTGTTAGTGTGGTGTGAAAGTGGAGCTATTAGCTCGGGAACACGCCGAGGCTGCAGGTGGAGTTGCCGGTTTGCTGGTCGCTTCGCCGAGCTTACGGTATTAAGTGCATAAGTACCCGCCGTAAATAGCACCTGAAGACTAGGGGGGAGTTTAGCTAGTTTCTGTGAGGCAGTTAGAGGGACGGGCCGCGGTGACGTGTAGGCTGTGTAATTAGCGTGAGCGTGCCACGCAGTGTTGTCATCATGGGGAGTGTAGAGGAGTTTTTGAGAGCGCCTTCGGAGGAGCTTCTAGAGCAGGGGTGGGCATTTTACGGCCCGCGGGCCACATCTGGCCCGTTGGCCGGCCTTGGCCGGCCCGTGTGAGATTGATCATAAATTATAACATAATGAAAAAAAACAGCAACCTTTTCAAAATAAAAGCAACACAGCTGTATTGCTTGCATGGCGTAAATACTTTTCTAACTGTGTTGCTTTTATTTTGAAAAGGGCGCTGCTTTTTTAAAATGTATTTACGTAATGCCGTGAACAGCTACGAGTGATGCTGGCCGGCTAGTCCTCGAAATGTCCGCTAAGGGCAAAAAAAGAAAGATCGATACTGAATGCCGCGTTTTCAACAAGACATGGACCGCTAAGTATTTATTTACAGAAGTGAAAGGTAAAGCTGTGTGTTTAGTTTGTGGTGCGCAGGTCGCTGTGTTCAAGGAGTACAATTTAAGTCGCCACTATGCTACCAAACACGCAGATAAATACAAGAACCTGTCTGAGGAAGAGCGGGCAAAGGGGTCGGATGCTTTGCTAGCTAAGCTGCAAAGCCAACAACACATTTTCACAAAACATTCCACATCCAGAGATGCAGCTGTCAAGACGAGTTATGTCTTATCCCACACAATTGCAAAAAAGAGTAAACCATTTTCGGACGGAGAGTTCATTAAGGAGTGTTTGTTGGACTCTGCCGCACTATGCCCGGAGAAAAAGGAGGCATTTGAGAAAGTGCCGCTCTCCCGACGCACTGTTACGAGGAGGATTGAGGACATCTCGGGAAATCTGGAGCTTCAGCTGCAGAACAGAGTCAACTTTGACTTTTTTTCCTTGGCTTTGGATGAGAGCTGCGATGTACGTGACACTGCCCAGCTACTCATCTTCCTACGTGGGATAACTACAGACTTCAAAATCACGGAGGATTAAGGTGTAAATACAGCCTATCTACCAATTGGATCAAATATAAAAGTCAGCCGAATTATTATTGATACTGCAAGGAGACGTATTGTGTGAAAAGAAATGTAAGATGTTGTTTAATTGCTGATATATTTAAGATCCACGTCACGTTTTCAGTTTTGGCGGCAGTGCTTCCTGTTTGTCCAGAAGTCTTGTCATCAGGGCTCTATAAATACAGAACTACGGCAGATATGTCATATTTAATGCAGCCGAACCGTGTATTACAATGCCGTTATGTGATGACCTCCAAAGAGAAAAGCAAGCACACTCGGAATAAAGTATTATTTTATTTTTTTTAAATGTTTTCGGGTTTCACATCAACAGGAGTCCGGTTAACTAAAATGTCCGTGCGGAACAATACCCCCAACCCATAGATCCGTGGGTGAATAATATCAATCACTACATTACACACATCCCTTCACATTTACATTTTAATTTACATTAAAGTATTTCGTGAGGCTTTCTAAAATGTTTTTAAATATAATTAGGGTTGTAGTTGAAGAGTTTGTAAATTGCGTTGCCTGGCAACGCAATCGCACAACGTCACGTCCGTTAATTCCACATCCACATCTCAACACACATGGATTAACATCGATTTAATACATTAATGTAGCCTTTGTTCTAAAAGAGGTGTCGACCAGCTAGGGCAACAAGAAAATCGGCGAAATCAAGTGTGACGATTAAAAAATAAATTAAAAACATCTAATTTTGACAATAAAAACCGACCAATAGGCGTGGTATAGCATTTGCTTGGCACTTCCGGGTATTTCTCCACTGGTTGGGCCATGTTAACAATACTGTGTAACTGTCACGTTTGAAGGGACGAAACCGTGACATATTCACGTCTCCCAGCATGGTAGATCGTCACATGTTCACGTCTTGCCGTGATACCGGGTTGGTTTTATTATATAGAGTCGTTATTCATTTGTTTTAAAGCTCAATAAATAACAAAGAAGACCTTTGACCGGCACTTTTCTAATTTTGTCCGGAAGATTTAAACTTTAACGGACATCTTGACCGGCGAAAGAAACTGAAACTGAAACTCTGCCGCACGGTCCCCTCGTTCCTTGGAAGAGGCGGAGAGGTGGGTGTTTGTCATCTGCTGGTGGACTAACCGGAGAGAATTACAGTGCTTGCCTCGGGGAGGGAGAAAGAAAGCCACAGCGGAGAATAAACAGAAGGGTAACCATGGTAACTATGGGCGGGAAGTCTTCTTCGCTGCTTTTGTGGCAGACTACAACGCCACTTACAGGCCTGGCATATGTACTACAGCGTCTCCAGCGCTTTCGAACGTTAATGGCCGTGGCTGTCTCCTCCTGATTGGTGGAGTTGGCCCAATAGCCGTAGCGCCACCGTCCTGACGTCAGGACAGTGTTCAAATCTGGATCAGTTTTTATCAGATCCGTTGCAGCCCCTTTTTTAGAGATTTGGGTATGGAGGAAAATAGAGAGGGTTGTGTTTTCTGACACTTGGTGAGTTCCCTGGAACACCGGGGACACATAATCATGTAGAAAAGACGTACACAAGTGCATTTTGCATGATAGGTCCCCTTTAAATTGATTATAGTCTATTATCAATTCAGGTTAAGAAACTAGTGTTGCTTGCATCCTATTTTAAAGGCATTTCTTTTTATACTCTACTAAAATGCAACAAAAAAAGGGTTTGATTCTATTAATTTAGTCTTTTTTATTGCAGTTTGGCAGCAGATTCCCGTGTAGCTTGAGATCTGAGTTGTCTTATTAGTAAGCCTAATTTATACTTTTGTAGCAACACTATTTGTATATAATGGCAAAGAAAGGGTTCAGAGTCTTTTCTTTTCCTGTATCATATGTGGCAGCACTGTTCAATGTTTCTTGAAAACATGACCCACTGTAGTTTGTGACGTGTGAATAAACTCCAACTCTGCATCAACAACACTGTTGTGTAACTTCAGTTAAATTCTTGTGTGTGTGGAGATTAGAAAGAGGTAAGATAAAGGATCTGCAGTATTTTATGAAGTATTAATCGTACAAAGGTCAGTTTTCTACAAGTAGAAGTGTGTATTTACCTGGTAGTAGGCTGTCAGTAATGGCTACGCCTCTCTATTTGGACTGGTAGATCTCGGCAGACTGGCAACTTTAAAAGTAGCTCTCGGTTCAAAAAAGGTTGGGCACCCCTGCTTTAGTGGATAACGTCACTGAGTCCATGCCCAGGATGCTAACTGCAGTTCACTTAACGCCCACCGACGTCGCTAAGAACCAGGATTTCCTGAAGGTTACACAGAAGCTTCAACACAGACAACAACTGACTCAAATGGCTTTTAGTCCGTTTTAAATTCTTACCCCCCATCAGCAGATTGAGGCTCCATTGAGCGGTCACTCTTTGAGGAAACACAGCGGGACTCAGGTCCAGGTCCAGGTTACACCTGGAATAAATTCACACCATAGTCTGTAAATATAAACACACACACACACACACACACACACACATACACATACACATACACATACACATACACATACACATACACATACACACACACACACACACACACACACACACACACACACACACACATGTAATACCTTTAGTTACTTCACAGATCTGGATGAATGATGTGAAATATAATCAAGTGTTAAATCAGACTTTAGTTCCACCTGGAGTAAATCCACAAGCTACCCTGCAGTATACAAAGTCATTCAAACTAGCTGCACCTTTACCAGCTTTGAGAACACTTTCATGATCAATCATTATAAAACATATCATATATATTATTCTGAAATGGACCAATCTGCACAATGACTACTTTTACTGTCGCTACTTTAACTATATTTTGATGCTAAGTGCTTTCTCGTTGTCTTTCTTTGGGGATCACTCTTCACTTCTATCGGACTCTGAAAGCTTTCTGAAATATTCCTCTTGTTCCAGTCACAGTTAGAGCTAGTGCAATAATGCATCCTGTTAGCTTGTTAGCTTGTTAGCTGCAGCTGAATCCTCAGAGAGCTTTAGACCTTCATCTGCAGACACACACAGAGCATCAGTCACTGAGAGCTGCAGGAAGTGTTCATATCTGTGCACGTGAACACCTGAAGTTCAGGCTGAGAGTAACAATGCGTCACATTTACTTATCATTTCATTCTATTCTTCACTCTCATTCATGGATTTGAGTTGGATCATTTTATTCCATGTTTACTGATCTAGTGTTTTTATTTCATGATCATTAACTTCTTGTCCTGTTTGCTTTAGATTTTAATGTATTTCTTATTTATCTATTTAGTTTTCCGGCTCAATCCCCACTATCCCTTCTCTCTGTTTATTTCTAAGCATGAAAACAAAGCAATCTGTAAGACATGGCTTAACATGTTTTATTGATTCCTATTTATCAATACATTTATTCATTTTCATATTTGTATAGTTATGTGTTTACTTATTATTCATCTATGCATCATTTTCATTTTCTCATTATTATTTATATAATATTTATATTCTTCAATTTATGTAATTTTTATAACTGTTTCATTTATTGTGAGCTCTTTTTATCACTACTCCTGTTGACTCCATTTATTAATTGTATTATTATTTATTACATTCCCTTTTATTTTAGTTCATCATTTGATTTTTTGTCAACGTTTTTACTCATCTTTATTCATGAGAGTACCACCTACGTCACTTCCGGGCAAAAAGTACGGCTCCGCCCACTTTTTGGGGAAAACAAAGCTGTAAGTTGAATGGCGGTCAATACAAATTCTGAAGTTTTTGCCAATCCGATCAGAAATTTAAGAAAACCGTGGATTTGTGGATCTTCAAAGAGCTCGATGACGATGGCCAGACAGGCAAAGAATTACATTCAATCATTTGAAATCGGGCTCGACATATGGTTAAATATAGCAGTAATCGATCTATGTCCATAGATTAGAGTAACATCTACGTCACTTCCGGGCGAAAGTTACGGCCCCGCCCACTTTTGGAGGAAAGCAACGCTGTCATTTGAACGGCGATCGAGCCTGAAGCCACAGAGCTCTTCTGTTACTGTCCTTTCTTCTTAGAGGAAGTACAGAAACACTGAACTCTGGATTTGTTTTAATGTTTGAGTTGCAATAAACGACACAGCTGCTTGTTGGCATGATACAACTATTATTTTCCGCCTCGCTCATGAGAGTAACCTTTTATTGACCTTTTATTGTATTTCCAAATGTTCCTTTTTTTCTTAATTTAATTAATATATATTTGTATTTCATGCTCTTGAACTATTATCTCTTTACTTTGGTTTGTAACGTTTTTTATGAAACAGTGAGGCTGTGAGTGAGGCTGTGTGTCGCCCTCTGGTGGCTGACGGAGGAACATTAGTGTTGTTTTCTTCAATTACTAATGTTTACAGTTCCGCATTTTTATTTTCGTTAATTCATTCCTCTACATTAATTCATCTTAATTCTCACATTATTATAATATATTCCAATTTATATTTCCAAATGTATTTGTTATTTTTATATTTTACATTTTAAAATGTTTTTCTGTGACGAGGGACAACCAATCACAGCGGAGATATCTCAATATATACACACACACGCACACACACACGTTATTGTTGTATTTAAAAAAGTTCTTATTTTATTAAATTCCGCTTCATGTACTTTTATATAGTATTTTTATTGTTTTTATTTAATTAAGATATTTTTTAATTTCCTGCTCTTCAACTCTTTGGTTTGTCATGTTTTATTTTTGTATTTTGATTTATTTTATTAAACAGTTCACCAGTGAGTGAGGCTGTGGGATGTGTCGCCCTCTGGAGGCTGAGGGAGGAACATTACCACTTTTGAAATGTTTATCTTTAAATACTTCGCTGGTCATGTGACGAGGAACCACAATAGCCTGCAGTATAACGGTAACAACCACACACACACACACACACACACACACACACACACACACACACACACACACACACACACACACACACACACACACACACACACACACACACACACACACACACACACACACACACACACACGCGCGCGCACGCAGGCACACACACGCAGGCACACCCACACACACGCAGGCACACCCACACACACGCACCCACACACGCACACGCGCACACACACTCACACACGCAGGCACACACCCCCCAACCCCACACACACACACACACACACACACACGCGCGCGCGCGCACGCACACACACGCAGGCACACACGCAGGCACACCCACACACACGCAGGCACACCCACACACACACACACGCGCACACACACTCACACACACGCAGGCACACCCCCCCCCCACACACACACACACACTTACAGTAGTAAGGACATAAATAAAGAGAGAGCAGTGGCGAGCCGTCAGGGCCCTCTAGGCCCTCTGTGAGGGCCTAAGATATTCCAAAAAATAATATTTAAAAACATTAAAAAAATATATATTTTTTTTAAATATATATTTTTTTAATATTATTTTTGTTATATTTTTCATTAGTTTTACCGAAAAACTTTCGGAAAACTTGATTTAATTGTATTTAAAATAACATTTCCAAAGAAATAAATCCTTCGAATCTGCCTGTTCATTCTCTGTTTGAATGTAGGGGTTACATGAAAGAAGCTCGCCTGGCCCTCTCTGCGATTCACAGAGGGCCCGCTATAGTAACTGAACGAGAGAGTAATGTCAAATGACAGTACAATTGACCAATCATATCTTCCCTCTAAATGGGTGGGTTTTATTATCGCGGACATTATGACAAGTTCCGCCCGCTGTGAAACTTTTCTTGTTTCCATAGCAACAACAACTTCCTGTCAACAGCGTGAACTCGCCTTCAAAATAAAAGCATGCCAAATTACACTTAAGACATACAACGGCAATGAAAGTAACAAACACAATGCAATATCATTTTCAATGTCAAAGAACACAAATTGGGTTCACAGGTGTTGTTTTGTGTGGTAGAGGGTCGCTGTCATTGATGTGTTTTGCACCCTGGGCCGTTGTTTTGATATTCCGCTGAAGTATACGCTGTGACGTAATAACTATTTTTTTTTCTTTTTTCGAGGGAAGGGGTGGGGGTCAGAGGGCCTAGGTATAAAGCTCACGGCTCGCCACTGAGAGAGAGAGGGTCTCTGAGTTATTCCCTGAGTAATGATTAATGATAATAATAGTTTTTGTGTGCAGGCGTGTTGAGGTAAAAACAGGAAGAGAGTTTAAGTCTGTCTCTGAGTCTCTAAAGTTAAACTAAAGAGTAGTTCTTATTCTCTGAGCAATGATTGATAATCAGAGTTGTCTCTAAAAGCTCTGAAGTCACAAAGAGTTACAAACCTTTAGAGAGAAGAGGAAGAAGAAGAAGAAGAAGAAAGTGCGACACGACCGACGAGCCCGAAGTGAAACTTAACAGCAAACAGGAAGCACTTCAAAATAAGAGCTCTTACAGGACATTGTATTTATATTACTTCTACTTTTACTCAAGTACCAGATCTGAGTACTTCTACTTTTACTCAAGCACAAGATCTGAGTATAGTAAGTCATATTATTGAGATTATAAATCATATTAATGTGATTATAAATCATATTGTGAGATGTCATATAAATGATTTACAGAGTAGATATGTTCTTTTCTGTGGTGGAAATGGTCTTCCCTAATCTCAGGTCTAAATCTCTGCAGTGTGTAGTTTCAGGGTGTATTGTGTGTGAAATGTTAAATGTCGTCCCACCGTTTGGCCACGATTTGCATCAGCGTCTGGCGCACTACCAGGGGTCTTTGCTCTGTCTGCTGGCCGCTCTGCCTGCTCCCTCTCCCGGATGAACAGAGATGAAATCCCCGGTCCTTCTCCCGGTGCTTTCTGTGATGCTTCACTTCCAAACACCGACATACATACCTCAGCTCAGCAACTTTGAAAAAAATCCATTTATTGAACTTTAAAACAAATACAAATAATAATTTGAACAGTATCTTTAACTGTTGATTACCCTGAACGCATAATTCAACTGAAAAACCAATACAAAAATAAATAAAATAAATGATACATTTATATTTACATTTAAATAAATAATATCAAAATAATAAATACCAATAAACAAGATCAACAAATATTTTGGAGCGCACTTCCACAAGCTACTAAACATATATAAATATGATAAATACAAATAAATTAGACCAAAATTAATTAGATCAAATATGTTGCAGTGCATGGTCACAACCTAGCAAATTCTCCTCCACTGAAATGTATTGAATTCATGTCATGAAATCAGGAGTAAATCCACCAGACTCAGACAGTTTCACCCCACAGGCCGATGACACTGTTAAACACCTGAACTCTGTGAAGAACATCCATAAACATTCATCTGTTTGCAACTTATATATATTAATATTCCAATTACTATAGACTATTCTGCACTATTTCTATTATATTATATTTTATTTTGTATTTACTTGCACTATTGTATCTGCTTTATTGTGTTGCTCTGTTGGAGGAGCCTGATGTGACCTCACATTTTCATTGTCAGATCTACACTGTAGCTCTGCACACATGACAATAAAGCCTTGAACCTTGAATTGATATCTACAGCTCCGGAATAAACTTAATTTACTAAGGGTTGGAATCACCAGGCTCCCCACGATACGATACTATCGCGATACTTAAGCCACGATACGATAGTATTGCAATTCTACGATATGCTAAGTATTGCGATACGATATATTGCGATATATATATATATATAATGTAATCATTATTACGGCACTGTTAGTGTACAGTTTTATTATTATGCTGCTGTGTTTATTTTATTTTTGTAACTCTGGCACAACAATTTCCTTCAGGATAAATGAAGTCTTATCTTATCTTAATATATATATATATATATATATATTTTAACATCTTTGTTGTGACTAACTTCCTGCCAATCCCACTGACTTTACCCATAGCCATGACCTCACAAGAAAAAGCTCATCAGTGGCGTGAAAAAGCAATTGTTACCAAAAAATGTAATTTGGATTTGCAATATGAATAGTTTATATAATAAAATATCAATACTTGGCGTCCGTGTATCGATGCAATATCGCCACGCAAAGTATCGCAATACTATGCTCTATCGATTAGTCCCCCCACCCCTACCATTATATATATATAGACATTTTATTTATTGGGATAAACCCCTTGAGATGCACCATCTCGTTTTCAAGGGCGTCCCGACAACAGCAACAACTTACAAACATACATAGACAAACCACGTACAGTCTGTTAAGTACAATTCAATGAATACATACAATCATTACAATCATTACAATGTGAGAGACAGTCGAGCAGATCAGTTTCATCAATATCAGTTTCATCAATATCAGTTTCATCAATAACAGTTTCATCAATATCAGTTTCATCAATATCAGTTTCATCAATAACAGTTTCATCAATAACAGTTTCATCAATATCAGTTTCATCAATAACAGTTTCATCAATATCAGTTTCATCAATATCAGTTTCATCAATAACAGTTTCATCAATAACAGTTTCATCAATATCAGTTTCATCAATAACAGTTTCATCAATAACAGTTTCATCAATATCAGTTTCATCAATATCAGTTTCATCAATAACAGTTTCATCAATAACAGTTTCATCAATAACAGTTTCATCAATATCAGTTTCATCAATATCAGTTTCATCAATAACAGTTTCATCATAACAGTTTTCATCAATATCAGTTTCATCAATAACAGTTTCATCAATATCAGTTTCATCAATAACAGTTTCATCAATATCAGTTTCATCAATAACAGTTTCATCAATAACAGTTTCATCAATATCAGTTTCATCAATAACAGTTTCATCAATATCAGTTTCATCAATATCAGTTTCATCAATAACAGTTTCATCAATAACAGTTTCATCAATATCAGTTTCATCAATATCAGTTTCATCAATAACAGTTTCATCAATATCAGTTTCATCAATATCAGTTTCATCAATATCAGTTTCATCAATAACAGTTTCATCAATATCAGTTTCATCAATATCAGTTTCATCAATAACATTTCATCAATATCAGTTTCATCAATAACAGTTTCATCAATATCAGTTTCATCAATATCAGTTTCATCAATAACAGTTTCATCAATAACAGTTTCATCAATATCAGTTTCATCAATAACAGTTTCATCAATATCAGTTTCATCAATAATCAGTTTCATCAATATCAGTTTCATCAAATCAGTTTCATCAATATCAGTTCATCAATAACAGTTTCATCATATCAGTTTCATCAATATCAGTTCATCAATAACAGTTTCATCAATAACAGTTTCATCAATATCAGTTTCATCAATATCAGTTTCATCCAATAACAGTTTTCATCAATATCAGTTTCATCAATATCAGTTTCATCAATATCAGTTTCATCCATAACAGTTTTCATCAATAACAGTTTCATCAATATCAGTTTCATCAATAACAGTTTCATCAATAACAGTTTCATCAATATCAGTTCATCAATATCAGTTTCATCAATAAACAGTTTCACAATATCAGTTCATCAATATCAGTTTCATCAATATCAGTTTCATCAATAACAGTTTCATCAATAAACAGTTCATCAATATCAGGTTCATCAATATCAGTTTCATCAATAACAGTTTCATCAATATCAGTTTCATCAATGCTCAGTTTCATCAATAACAGTTTCATCAATAATCAGTTTCATCAATATCAGTTCATCAATATCAGTTTCATCAATAACAGTTTCATCAATAACAGTTTCATCAATATCAGTTTCATCAATATCAGTTTCATCAATAACAGTTTCATCAATAACAGTTTCATCAATATCAGTTTCATCAATATCAGTTTACATCAATAACAGTTTCATCAATATCAGTTTCATCAATATCAGTTTCATCAATAACAGTTTCATCAATATCAGTTTCATCAATATCAGTTTCATCAATATCAGTTTCATCAATAACAGTTTCATCAATATCAGTTTCATCAATATCAGTTTCATCAATAACAGTTTCATCAATATCAGTTTCATCAATAACAGTTTCATCAATAACAGTTTCATCAATATCAGTTTCATCAATATCAGTTTCATCATACCAGTTTCATCGATAACAGTTTCATCAATATCAGTTTCATCAATATCAGTTTCATCAATAACAGTTTCATCAATATCAGTTTCATCAATAACAGTTTCATCAATATCAGTTTCATCAATATCAGTTTCATCAATATCAGTTTCATCAATAACAGTTTCATCAATAACAGTTTCATCAATAACAGTTTCATCAATAACAGTTTCATCAATAACAGTTTCATCAATAACAGTTTCATCAATATCAGTTTCATCAATATCAGTTTCATCAATATCAGTTTCATCAATATCAGTTTCATCAATAACAGTTTCATCAATATCAGTTTCATCAATAACAGTTTCATCAATAACAGTTTCATCAATATCAGTTTCATCAATATCAGTTTCATCAATATCAGTTTCATCAATAACAGTTTCATCAATATCAGTTTCATCAATATCAGTTTCATCAATATCAGTTTCATCAATAACAGTTTCATCAATAACAGTTTCATCAATAACAGTTTCATCAATATCAGTTTCATCAATAACAGTTTCATCAATAACAGTTTCATCAATAACAAGTGCAGAGCAGCTGAAAGTGAGATGGTAATGGATGTTCAAACATACCCAATGATGCCAGAGATCTAATAGCAGCAGGTCAAGTATTCCAGTCTTTGAACATGAACGCTCTTCTGCCAATCGATTTTTATTTATTTCTCTGAGGGGACAGAGAAATAAATCTGGACAGATTCCATCCAAAGTCACCTGCTTTATTTATAAGGAATACTCATCCACTGAAATGTATTGAAATCATATCTACAGCTCCGGAAGAAAGTAAAGTTTATTTGGTTTTATTATCACACCATTTTTATTTAATATTGTAGCGGCCAAAATCATATAGAAATAAAACAGATAATTAACTTAAAATGTCGCTGAGGCACCTGTTAGTGAATCTTACGCAGGGCAACGATCTAAGTCCAGACCAGACTCTCCGTTTGTGTATTCCATCAAATATCAAATACTAAGAACATATTTCCCATATTTCTTTCCTGAAGCCTTTCCTATGTCTTTCCTTCTTGTGGCTTTAAACACTCTGGTAAAAAAACATGTTCCTACGAGTGCTCTACTCCCACCTCCACCTGTCTCCAATATATACAATCACACCCAGTGCCCAAACATGTCTTCAAAATAAAAGCAAATAATCGATGTTACCCCACGTCAATAACGACAATAACTAAGAATACATTTACTATAAACAATAACAGCAAGAAAATAAATGTTTAACTATTAAATAATATAAAGCAATATATAGCTCCAAAAATATGTTTCTCAAAGGTCTCCTATTATGCAAAGTGCACTTTTTGTGTCCCCGGCGTGTCAGGAGACTCACAAAGTGTCAGAAAATAAAACCCTCTCTCCATACTGTTTCATAAATAATCCTTGATGTTGTTTTGAACATGATATGGCATTTAATCAATCAGGAGAATTCTCCTGCATACGTTTTTCTTTTCAATTCTTTTTTTTGTAAAGCTACAGACCCAGAATCAGCACTTTAGTAACAGCTGAAATAGAGGGGTGAGGCGAGAATGATCTGTTTGGTATTTTGACTAAAACACTTCATAGACATGTTTTTTATATATTTGTATATATCTGAGACCTTTAAGTGCTATTCCCCCCCTGTGCTGCAGTTACCCCGGGACTATGCGTCAGTTCCTGTCTGGGAACCAGCCGAGCCGCAGGCAGCGAGTCCTGATGCTGCTGCAGCTGCTGGAGGGCGTGCAGCACCTCTGCAGCGAGGGGGTCGCTCACCGGGACCTGAAGACTGACAACATCCTGCTGGAGCTGGACTCAGGTCAGAGAAACACTGCCTCTCCTCCACTGAAAAATATCACTCAACACCGGTTTAGGAATCAATAACGTTACATTACATGTCACTTGTTAGACGCTTTTATCCAAAGCGACTTACATACTCAATGCTGTGGACAATCCCCACAGGAGCACTTTGGGTGAAGTGTCTCAGGGACACAACGACACGCAGTGGGGTTTGAACCTGTTTGAACCCTGATCCGAACACATACGCACAACCCACTGCGCCACACACCTCCTCTATTTTTGCAAGAAGGAGCAGAGTTAAATCACATACAGGAATATGGTTCAACTCACACACATGAGTTATGTTGCTCAAAGGAACACGAAATCAAGCTTATATAGTCTAAGTGTCATAGTCGTAAATCAACTTTTCAATTTGAACCCGAGACCCCGGAGAGAACAATTACACAACATTTTAGTCCCTCAGTTGAATTATTCCTGGATGTCCTCAGACCTCAGTCGCTCAGAGAACATTAGAGGTTTCAAAGTGTTATTTGTTCCTGCAGCTGGATGTCCTCAGACCTCAGTCGCTCAGAGAACATGAGAGGTTTCAAAGTGTGATTTGTTCCTGCAGCTGGATGTCCTCAGACCTCAGTCGCTCAGAGAACATTAGAGGTTTCAAAGTGTGGTTTGTTCCTGCAGCTGGATGTCCTCGGCTGGTGATCTCGGACTTCGGCTGCTGTCTGTCTCAGAGCGACTGCAGTCTGCAGCTTCCCTTCAACAGCATGTGGGTGAGCCGGGGGGGCAACGCCTGCCTCATGGCCCCCGAGGTGAGCTTCAGTAACTCTTTAAAGGTCTCCTATTATAATATTTGTAGGCATATATCATAGGTCTCAGATATATACAAATATATACAAAACATGTCTCTGAAGTGTTTTGCTCAAAATACCAAACAGATCATTCTAGCCTCATCCCCCTCTCTTTCAGCTGTTACTAAAGCAGTGGTACTCCGTCAGGCCCCCCCAACACAAATAGTCACGTAATGGGCCGAGTTAACATTTATTAAAATACATCATGAACGTGAGCATTCAATTAAAAAATCACTCCCCACGCACACACACAGTGTACCCGCGACTGTTACAAGGAAGGCTCGATAATCAGCTCACGGCATATAGGGGTAAGCAGGGGTAAAGTGCTATTGTTATAAGTGGGGGGTGGACCTAACATCCTCTAGGGGGGTCCTCCTCACCTCCTCTAGGGGGGTCCTCACATCCTCTAGGGGGGTCCTCACATACTCTAGGGGGGTCCTCCTCACCTCCTCTAGGGGGGTCCTCACATCCTCTAGGGCAGGGGTACTCAAATACAAATCTTAAAGGTCCAAAAAAATGCAATTGCAACAAGATTCTTAACACGAGGTTGCAAAAACAAAAATAATCTGTATGCAGCAGTTTTCATTGTTATCTGTGCTTGATCCCTCAGAGTCACAGTGTAAGAGCTGCACAGTTATGAATAAAGGCAGCTGCACCCTCTTTCATTCAGCATTCCCATTATTGCTTTATAAATGTCTTGCCCCCTCTGTGTCCACTGAGGTTCGTCAGGCCCAACACATCTTCAACAAACTCCCCCTTTGCCTCATCATAAAAACTCACAAACACCAGCAACTGAGCATTGTCAGTGGTGTCAGTGGACTCATCCACAGCTAAGGAAATGCACTGTGCATTTTGTATTCCATCACAAAGCTGATTAATCAAATCACCAGCCAGTATTTATGTTCTTCTGGTTGCTGTGGAATCTGAGAGGGGGATTTGCTTGATTTGACCTGTTATTTCCTCTTTTTGTTTGCCTTCAAACATGGTCTCCATCACTTCAGTCATGCATTCTTTTATACTTCAGTTATTATCCAGTGGAAAGCCCTTACCTCCCTTACGCAAAGAAAATATATTTCCCCATATATTAACTGTCAATATATTGCATTATTTTGTTTTCTGATTTACTGGTTAATTGAAAAGATTTAATAAAGGAAATCTTGCTGTTGGCTACACCAAGTGATACTGATTAATAATCAACATGAAAAACATATTTATTCATATCTACAAAATATATTGAAAATATATTGAAGATATATAGAATAATATATTGTGTTAATATATTACAATATATATATATTGAATAATATATTGTGATAATATATTGTAATATATGTGATAATACATCAGTAATTGCCGCTTTCCATATATTGAGTAATATATGTAAATATATATAATATATTGGTTGTGTATATATGTGAACATACATTTACTATATATTAACATTTATATGGGGACATGTACTATATATATTCACAAATATATGGGGACATGTATGCGCTATATATTCAGATTTATATGGGGACATGTATGTAGAATATATTCACAATTATATGGGGACATGTACTATATATATTCACAATTATATGGGGACATGTATGCGCTATATATTCACAATTATATGGGGACATGTATGTAGAATATATTCACAATTATATGGGGACATGTATGCACTATATATATTCAGATTTATAAAAGACCATGTACGTACCATATATTCTGAACATGAGTGCAATATATGTTCACAATGAGGAGAAATGCATGTTCTGATAAAAAAAATCTTTCATTTAATTTCAAACCTTTATTTATGCAGGTGAATCTCATTGAGATCATTGATCTCTTTTTCAAGGGTGACCTGCTGCAAGTAGGTTCCACATGAATACATATAAACATAACAGAAAAACAAAAAAGGACATCATACAGCATATTTACAGTGACTACAGTTTACATAGCTAGTAACATTTACAGGTTCCAACAGTTTCCGATTGGATAGCATCTATCCTTGCTTTAAAAACATTTAGTGGAACCAAATTGCTCAGACTGTTCCAAGTTAGCGGAGCTGCGCATCTAAATGCTATCTTCCCTAAGACAGTCCTAGCAGTTGGCACATTTAATAAAATCACAACATTCGATCTCAGGCAGTAGCCACTTACAATTCGCCGTGAGATCAGGGAGCAGATGTAGGATGGAAGTTTCCCTAACATGGCTTTGTATATAAAAATGTACCAGTGACTGAGCCTCCGTGCAGTTAGTGAAGGCAAACCTGCCCTTGCATACAGGGTACAGTGATGGGTTAATACTTTACAGTTTGTCACAAATCTCAGTGCACTGTGATAGGCGGCATCTAACTTGACCAGGTAATTGGCAGGTGCATTCATATAGATCAGATCACCATAGTCCAGTACAGGTAAAAAGGTCACAGTGACTAGCCTTTTTCTGTCCTCAAGTGAGAAACAGGACTTGTTCCTGGAAAAGAAACCTAGCCTAACCCTCAGTTTTTTAAGCAGGTTATTGACATGAAGTTTAAAAGTGAGACAATCATCAAGCCAGATACCAAGGTATTTGTAACAGGTAACCACTTCAAGTTTTATTCCTTGTGTAATTACAATATCTAAAACAGGCTCTGGTGTCTTTTTTAGTTTTTGAAAAGAGCATTACCTTGGTTTTATCAACATTTAAAAGAAGCTTAAGCGCTAAGAGCTGAGTCTGAATAATGAGAAGCTTAATTTGTTTGTTTCTATCAATGTGTAACAGTTATCAAAATACTCATTAAAAGAAGGACAAGGAACGAATAAAAGAAAAGGCCTATAAACAACACATTATGTAATGACTCAAGAACATTTTAATGTAATTATGTAATAAAACCCACATTTTGTAATAATCTGCTGCATTCTGTAACATCCTGAACGCAATATAAAATAAATGTTCCTGCATTTTGTAATAAATTATTACATTTTGCAATGGTTATTACAAAATGCGTGAGTTGCCCTTTAAAAAAAACTGTAATATTCATTATGTAACCATAACCAAACTGTAAATATATCCCAAAATTGATGTTGATATACATGTTGGCTAATGAATATGGTAACACTTGATCTAGTTTTGGCCAATGAAAGATATTCTACTGAAATATTTTTAAATTATGATTAAGGATGATTCATGGTTGAATAAATAAATAAACAGTTGTAATGTTATTGTTTGCAACTCATTTTGTAATAACCACAGCAATATGTAATAATATATTTCAAAATGTGGCGACATGTATTACATATTTGCATTGAACTTGTTTACTACATAATGGGCAAATTATTACAAAAGGAGGTGTTATTACATAATGAAGGGAAAATGTATTACATTTTGTATAGGTATAGTTAATAAATGATGCATTGTTATTTCATACAGGGCCAAAAAAACAGTCTTGTACCCTATTTGATCGTCAATCTTGTTTTTTTCGTGCCTTTACTCACAAATTCTTGTGTTAATGGATGTTCTTATATCTGATGTCTTGGTCCCTGGATGGTGGTTTACTACAGCATCTGTGGAACAGAACAATTACAAATAATTAGAAGTTCACAAAAGACAGCAGGAATTATAACAATATCCATAATATCTATATTAAAGCATGGGCTGGCTTGGTGAATAATGTGGGAATACAAATAGTGGAAGAATAGGCTTTGTACATTTTCGTCTGAGTGTGGCGCTACTGGTTGGTATATTTTATGGAATTTGGACCAAGCATCTGCATCTGTAACAGTTCTGTTTAAAACTTTTTTAAATGTAATTGCATTCATCTTTAAAGGTGGGGTAGGTAAGTTTGAGAAACCGGCTCGAGATACACTTTTTGTTATATTCCATGGAATTCTCTTAACATCCCGATAGCAATGAATATCTGAAGTGCTTTGACAAAAAATCCATAAAATAAATATCATCTGTGGAAGCCGTAGTACTGTAAAAAGCACGACCAATCATCTGAGCCGGCCCGGCTAAAATAACTAGATGGCCTACCTGCCTGTCAGCCTTCCATCTGTGCACAAACTTATCTCGTGCCCTCATTGGTCATGTGCGCGTTCGTGTGTGTTGGAGGAGGGGCTCTGTAAGGAAGTGGCAGATTTTTTCCGGCTGTGTATTTTCAAATTCTAGCGCACTCGAGCTGGTTTCTCCAAAATTACCTACCCCACCTTTAAAAGACTACTTTTATTGAATGAGAGTTTTACCTAGCACAATGAGCCTGGGGTGGTGGGAAGGGAGAACTGGGCCTCGGCATCGGCAGGAGTGGTAGTCGCCTATGAGTATTAGAATTTAGATTAACAAAGGCATAGAAAAACCCTGAAATATGTACTGACACAAAGCTACAACCCTCGATTTTGTAAGTAGTAGTAGTAAATACATACGTATATACAATATACAACAATACGCATAATGCAATTAGCAGTACCAGTAATAAAATAACTGAATAAATAGTAGTAGAACCTTTATTTAGCCAGGAAAATCAATTAAGAACAAATTCTTATTACAATGATGACCTGACAGGAGGCAAAAGGCATCCTGAGGGGATGGGGTTTGGGAGGAAAAAAATAAAAAGACAGACTCCAGGCACTACAGAACCCAGGAGACAACACAATGACACAGAGCAGAGATGACAGGCATAGCAGTTAAACATATAACATCTCTAAAACAATATTGCTGTGGTTCAATCTGTCATTAAAATAATATAGAACATTCATCCATTCAATCATTCATTCCTTCATGGCAAGGATAACTAAGCTGAGTAGTGAATAAAGTGATATGTGAAAAGTAAAATGACAGTGAAATTAAATGACAGTGCGTTCCTTACCACTGCGATCTGGCTCCTCTGTCCTCGTGTCTTTTGGGTCTGATTCCTCACTACTGATGTCTGCCTCTGCATGGGCCCTCTCTCCTTATTTATTCTGTCTCAGTCACCACTGCTATCTGGCTCCTCTGTC